AAAGAACAGGGCAAGACCTTGATTGTTATGGCTTGCAATGGTCATGGCCTTGCACCGTTGCATAGAATATAGATACTGTATAGAACATATACTTAAAAAATTTCTTTTTCCCACTTAAGATGTGAATTGGGATGGCAAAATGTGATTTCTATATGGTGGAGAGGGATGTTGCAATGAATCTAAACCAATGGATTTGAAAAGGATACTTATTGGACATTGAATTATCAAATACAGGTTCCACTGGGACTGGGGTCCTGCATGTGCGTTGGAAGGTCCGTGTACATGTCTTAGTTTTCCTTGCTGTCTGTGCTTGTGCCCCTCCCCGCAAAAACGCCTCAAAATTGCACAAAACCTCGCTGGCCTGTCAATTTTCCTACCTACCTAATGCATGCAACCATCAATGAGCTTTCATGTCAAGTGCTAAGAGTGTTGCATTGCAGGGCCTTGTGACTCTAGTGGGTAAAAACATTTATTCTTGCACTCTATGATTTTAATTTAAGAGAAACGAAAAAGAAAAGAGGAAGTTGGATTCGTTCTCTCCCAATTCTTGCATTTATAATTTCACAACTGAGGTCTATCGGAAGCATATTTTTTCTTATTAGGAATTTTTTAAAGTGGCTTAAATGGAAAGAATCAAAGATCATAAGTTTCCTTGTAATTATTAATTTATCATTCAATTATATCTTTATTCTTCAATTCAACAATACAACAAACTCTCAATAAGATTTGACTCTAGTTAACTGGGTCTAGCCCAGTGGCAAATGGCATTGACTTACTGACCAATGGTTTCAGGTTCGAACTCCTATAACAACTTGATAGTGTGTGTACGTGAAAAACTTTCATTTCCTTTGTAGTTTAGACTATCACTTATTATTTTACTCTAAAACCTTCTTTAACAAAGTGAAAATTAAACGACACTAAACTTATTAATCATAAGCATCAATTCTATCCTCAAATAATAGCCTTAAACAACAAGAAAAAGGCTTACCACATAACGAAATCATATTATTTGATTAGTTTCTTATTATACACTCGTTATAAGACGGATATCGACTTCGAAAACACTAAAAGAAGATTGCTAGATCCTTCGAATCATAAGAAGGTATGAACACTAACCCTAATTTCTCAATTAGATTGCGTCTTATAACTTAAGCAAATTTTAAAGACTATAGTTTGGTTTCAAGGAAATTTCAAAAGTTTTCGTTGCATCAAAGCTCTGTTATTCTTCACCCAAAAAATAAAGCTATGTTCTTCAAAACGTAACCATCAATCCCAATTTTAATTTGAAAGGATCACTAAATTCAAGTTAATGGAAATACGTGTACACCAAGAATCAACATTATATTCTTCTTTATAGAAGGTGAAATTGGACACAAAACTATGTATGCATAGGAAAATACTTTTAATTACTTAAACTATAATACAATCATCCTATAACATATTTACTAATTTGTAATCGGAATTAAAATAAAGAGTCGGATTTCGATTGTGTGGTCTCGTGTTTCTGGGCTCAATTTTATGATGAGCTCATTTGTTAAGCCCACAAGCCCAATCTATTAAAATAATAGCCTTTAATTACAATACTTAATAAGAGCGTATCATCACCGCCTTTCAAGCAGCATCTGCTTCCAAATACAACAAAACGGCGCCGAGTTCAATAATCATTCAAACTTTTGAAGAGCAATAAAAAACAATCAATTTATAAAAAATAAAAATAAAACGCCAGGTCGAGGAGATGAGCGAACGCGAGTGGTCCACGTCAGCTCACACCCGATAACACACCACCATGTCCCGTATATACAAATACATACATACAATACGAAGATGATATATTATATTAGAATTAGAGTATATATACGCCCTCTCGGTTCCTATTCGCATTTCTTTTCTCTGTCTCGGTCGCTGCTGCTGAATTAGTTACCCTAGAAAGGCTGCTTCTTCAGGGCTATCTCTCTCCCTCTCTCTCTATGGGCTCTGAGCAATCAGCTGCTTGATAAGGCTTCTAGAGTCTCTGCCGAGTCAAATCCAATTGAATCGGTATTTCAAGTTGGGGTTTTGTTTTTCCCAATTTCAATCCGGTAATTTTTCTAATCCTTACCTAATTTCAGGTCCGATTTTAGCTGGATCTGAACGCTTTGGGGTGCTTATCTCGGTACATGTTTTCTCGGCTGGGTTTCTGTGCTCCGTGTTTATTCTAGTTAAGGTATTTTTTTAAATAATTTTATTATTATTATTAATGGGACCTTTGGAGGTGGATAGGTTTGGGGAAACGGTGTTTTAATCCCTGGAATTTGGAGTCGAGCTGGTGTTTTAGCTCAATATTCGTGGAATTTGAAAATTGGGGATTTGAACTGTTAGGCTTTTCTATTTGTTTTGTAGAAGCTGTGAAATTGCATTGTTTTTGCTTTATATGATGACTTTCAATAACGAAAAAGTAAGGGTGTTTTTTTGCTTCATTATTCATGTTTGGGCTGATTGTTTTTTTATTGGTGCGTTGGGTTGTTTTGATTGGTATCGAGATATACCCATCCGTGGTTGGACTGTAACTATGAGTTGTTCAATATCACACCTGAGGTTTTCAATCTGTAATCAACATACAGAGTTTCAATCCTTGTTTTTATCCAATTATACTACACTTGAGGTTGAGGAAACAAAAAGAAGAGCTGAAAATTACTTATGTTGATTCCATAATTGAAAAAAATGGCCAGTTTTGTAGTTATGCGATTGCCGGAGGTGCATCCCAATTTTAAGTGTGATTTCTAGTTGTCAAAGTAGGAGAAGTATATTGATTTAGTGGTTATCTTTGTGTTGTGAGTTTTTTTAATTTTTTATATATATATATATATTTAATTTCTTTAATGGCAGTGTTTAGAATCTTTGTTTACAGGTATTCTTGAGGCTTGTGCATGACATTACAGTTTCTATACTCATAGTAATATTTACCAACTCATTGATTAATAGGATATTCCCAATGTGTTATTCTTTCATGGCCTCTGCGATTTTGGAAACTTGGTTATTCATATGCCTTAAATCATGGTGGTGATGGCTTAAGTTCGTGGATGGACTTGAGAATTTATTTGCTTGTTGAATTTGTGCTTTACATTTTTTTAATCTTTGTAATTGTTGTGGTATGCACTTAAGCTCAACGTTATCTTTAATGTGTAAATCAGAATGTTGTTCTGATACTCATGTTAATTTGGTCTTTTTTCAGTTTCAATAATTTTGCTACTATCACTTGGAGAGAGCGTGAAGTATCTTTGAGAGCACAAAATGCCCAAGGATAGAAGGGGACGATCTGTATCTCGTGATAGGTATAGAGCATCTCCTTATCCATGCAGCTCCAGTCATACAAGGCGGCCGCCACCCAAAATTCCTTCAGAAACTGAGGAAAATGTGAAAGAATGGGAAGACACCACGTGCCCTGTTTGCTTGGAGCATCCACACAATGCAGTTTTACTCATATGTTCCTCCTATGAGAAGGGGTGCCGCCCTTACATGTGTGACACAAGCTACCGCCATTCAAACTGTCTAGACCAGTACTGCAAGTCATTTTCGGCAGAAACCTCACCAACTGTGCCACCAGAAGGAGAAAATCAGATTTTAGATACTCAGTCATCTCCAGCTGAAACTCTTGAATCAACAATTACTCATGTGCAAAATGGTAGAATTGAGGAAGAGCCCCCCACCATGAATCCCATAGCCTGTGAGCATGAGGCACAGCCAAAGCTTTTGTGCCCCCTCTGCCGCGGGGAGATAAAAGATTGGATAATCGTGGAGCCCGCTCGTTGTTTCATGAACGCAAAATCAAGAAATTGTTCTTGCGAGACGTGTAGTTTTAGTGGAACCTATGCAGATCTTAGGAAGCATGCTAGGCTGGAGCACCCACAAGCACGCCCGTCAGAGGCAGACCCAGAGCGACAGCGTACCTGGAGGAGTTTGGAACGACAGAGGGATTTTGGTGACCTGCTCAGCACACTCCAATCTTCAATTGGAGAGGATAGGGGTGATGATAGCAGTTTGCCGGTTGATGATGGGGGTTGGTTAACTGTGGTCTTTCTAGTTCGAGTAATTCAACCTGGGGCCAGTTCAAGGAGCAGCACTTGGTCTGGTCCCAGAAGAACCAGAGCACAAGTTAGAATGAGAGGGAGAGCTACCACACTTTGGGGGGAGAGCTATGATGGTGAAGCTGCATCTGCTTCTAGAGAAGAGGATAATGATTCTTCAGATGGCAGCACAGGTGCTAGGAGGCGCAGCGCGCGCCTCCGGCGACGGACAACACCAGACAACCAGCCATGATTGCATATGTATGAAGAGTAAGTTTGCTCCAATTCTGTATTCAGGAGCTGTCAGTGGCGTACTGATTGTCGAAATTCTGATTTAAAGAAATGTATGTGATTTAGCGCTTCCGTTGCACGAGTGAAATAGAAAAGAATGAAATGAAAGCTCATTTCCTTCTACCCTGGAGCCTGTTCTACTGAGTTGTGCAGCAGTGTTGCTTGGTATGGTAATGCTGATTAATATCAGGCTGAGAGTGAAGTCCTGAAAAAAAACTTCAAACCAGTTTATATATATTTATTTAACGGTCTTCCCCAATTTACCTCTTTGTGCTGATGAACGCATTGAATTCGTCAATTTGCGTTATTTCCACGTTTATAAACTTACAAGTTCGATTAGAAGGGCTTTTGCCAAGTCTGTCTACTTTTTGCAGAGCTTTATTGCCTAGCCAGGAATTGAAGAAATATAAATATACTCACTTCTTTGCAGAGCATTATTTCCTTATTCAAATAAATAGAGCCTAAATAAACAAACTAAAAAGCAACCAATTAGAACTTCGAAGTTGACAATATCATAAACTCAGTATAGCTGAACCGGCGCCGGTTTTTCCATTTTCCCCGCTCTTACTGTAACAAAATGTCGTGTGACGGTTAAAGACCAAAGTGCGACTCCTTACTCACACGTGACTAATCTTGAGCAAAGGAATTTCTCACGAGAAGGGTTCCAACATTGCGCGCTATGTCTCAGACCTCCGCGCGAAATTCACAAGCCGTCAATGACAGCCAAGAGTTTTCAAAAAACAACCTGGTCCAAATTTAAAAAAGAAAAGAAGAAAAGAAAAGAAAGAAAGAAACTCGACACATGTCTTGCCACCTTTGAATTTATTTTTTATTTTTTTCGTTTAATTTATTCCTCCAAAGTCTCAAAGCTTTCATCTCTTTCCGCTCTGGCCGGAAACGGATCTCCGAACTGAAGGCTCTTGTTATTCTCTCTCTCTCCCTCTCTCTTTCTCTCTTCTCCGATGGATTGAGAAGGGAACAAAAGCAAAGTTGAAATCTTGGGGTTGTTTTGGAATTTCGAAAAGAATTGGGGTAAAATGGGGGACGAGAGCACCTCCAACTCGGTCTCTCAATTTGGAGGGATTGATGGGAACAAAAGCTATGAGACCCAGGTGGTGTTGAACGTCTACGACCTCACCCCTCTCAACAATTACACCGTTTGGTTCGGCCTCGGAATCTTTCACTCTGGTATTGAAGGTGAGAATTCTTTCCTTTTTATTCTTTCTTTCGTTCTGCTATGTGTTCAGGCGATCTGGGTACGGTTGCATTGTGTTATATGCTGTGCTTTTTTTTTTTTCTTTTTAGTTACTTTGTCGATTCGTTTCTTTACTTTTCTGGGCATTCCGTATATTTTGGATTGGATTGTATATATTTATTCTGAAGATTGGCACTTTCAAGCTTAAATGGATACGAAGGATGTGGGATTTGTGGGCTTGCTTGTTTCCTGTTTGCAGTTTTGAAGTTTACGTTTTTGTTTATGTATATGGTGTTTAAAGCTGGTATTATGTAAAAATGAATTAAGAATTTAGTTATTGAAAAGGTATGAATGTGCTTGCATCTAATGCTAAGTTATTATTGTACTACGTCATATAGTAGTTAGATATGTAGCAGCAAGAATTGAAAATGATATTGGGATCTAGTCTAGACTCATGTCTTTCTATACCATTTTGTTTGCAGTTATGCTGATCTAGTTTTACAAAGTGCATTAAATTTGCCATATGCTTTTTTTATTTGTTTACGTTTGGTTATGAAGGAAAAGATCTGCCAATTGGAAAGTACTGGATATGTGGTGGGTGTGTATCTCTGTATTGAGAGCTCTCGATGTGGGAGATGATTTTCTGGTTGATTAACTAAAAGTTGCTAACTTTGAAGAAATAACAATTTCTCGTGATATAATGTTATTATAAGCTTTTTTTAGAGTAGTCGTTACAAAACAAACTGAAATCCTCTGTTCTGAAAATTGCCCTGACTGATCACTGACTTCTTTTAATTCTCCTTTATTTCCTTTATTAAAAAAGGAGAAGAATCTGTTTAACAACTTCATCTTTCTCTTGTATGTAACAGTCCATGGCAAAGAGTACGGTTTTGGAGCCCATGACTTCCCAGTCAGTGGAGTTTTTGAAGTGGAACCAAGGAGCTGCCCAGGTTTTATTTACCGGTGTTCTGTTTCACTTGGCCGCATAAATATGCATCCCTCTGAATTTCGGACATTTATTGAGAATGTTGCTTCAGAGTATCATGGTGATACCTATCACCTCATCTCCAAGAATTGCAACCATTTTACGGATGACATGGCATGTAGGTTGACACAAAAACAGATTCCCGGATGGGTGAATCGGCTCGCTCGGCTAGGTAGAGAGAATATTTTCCACTGACTATTGTAGTACTCCTTTATTTTATTAGTGTTTGATCCTTATTTACTTCACTGCTGCAGCCTTCTACTGAGAGTTTCAAGTGTTGAGGTCCATGAACATAATCTGGAAGCAATTAGTAATATGTATTTGCTGGAAATAAGATTACTCATGTCTGTTTGCATCATATTTGACTTGATTAAGTCAGTAAGATATTATCTTTGAGACGACTATGATTGCTTTACTTACACAGGAACAAGTTGCTTTATGTTTGTCCATGTAGGACTATAGGAATGACTTTCAAATCTCCATCCTTTGTGATGGCTTTTACTTTAGTGTGACTCCATGCATGAGGGTTTGGATTGCGATGCCTTGCTTTGTGTCTTCATCTTATGTCGTATTCTGTGTAATATAACTGAGATATCCTTTACTTCTCATGGGCATGATTTATTGCTTGAAACACTGTCGTAAGTCCATGTTTTGGTTGTAATTTCAGGTTCTTTGTGCAGTTGTCTTCTTCCTGAAAGCCTTCAAGTGACTACTGTTAAACAGATACCTGAATACCATCATGAGTCTGGTGATTATTCTCATTCTTGACTATTTTCAACTCGATATTAGAGTGTTTGTATTCTCTGTGTTGTCTATAGTTGTTATATCATTAACATTTGAAACCTGTTCTGTTGTTTTTCTGGGTGGTTGTGACCAGAAGAAGATGGTACCGAAACTCCACCAATCACCACCCCTCGTGTATCAGAGGAATTGGATGATGATCAAGAGAAGCGCCTGCTGTCACCATTGGCTGCAATGTCTCCGGTTGCTGGAAGTGGAGATGTGACTTTTGTTAAAGAGGCTCACAAGTGAAACAAACCCAAATTTTTTGGAAAGAGAGGAAGGAAAAAGGGGTGTTGGGCCCGTTGTTGTTATGGATGGTTTACTTGGTAGGGAAGTACCTGCTCCTGTTTTCAGAAACAGAGCTGCCTGAACTGTATTCATTGTTGGTATGCAAAGTGTTACAAGCAATGCGATTTAAGTTTTGAATTACATCTTTCTAATATTTTTGGCCATGGTTTGCTTTTATTTTTTATTTTTTGAACCAAGGAATCGGAAAGTAGATCGTAGTTTGTGTATGACCTTATGATTTGTACATGAAGGCTTTGAACGGGAGCTGTTTTTGCGAGTGGAAATGAATCTGTCTTTAATTTCTTATACAATCTTTACAATTGGAAATGAATCCGTCTTTTAATGTCTTCAATAACCCCTGGTTCTCTCTGGCAAGAGTATGGACGGTAGACAATTTTGTCAAGCTCACGTTAAGGGTCAAAGTATCAGCTGAGCGTGTCCAGCCAGCTTTATTGCAACTATGGATGTGGGCAATTTCTGTGAAAGAACTACCTTTTACTTTCATACGACATGTTCTTGATTCAAATAATGAATGTCGTTACTACATACTAATATGGATTTATCTAGTGCCACCAGCCAAACAATAACAAGTCATAAAGGACAAAATAGGTCATACAGAGACCAAAACCACTTAAATTTTTGTTTCTTAACATATTCCCTTCAATTTCTTCCTCTTCCTTGATGTTGCTTGAGATTTCTCATGGGGTCATACTATGAAGAAGTCCCCTCAAGCCCCAATTTTGACGAAAGCCAAGCACAAACTTCATCCATCTCTTCAGGAACTGTATAATGACCAAGCCTGCATACCCAAACAAAACATTCTTTTACTTCCTTGAACTAATAATTTATATGCAAAACTTTTAACACATAATGTCTAAATCACATACCCATTGTAGGCTTTGAATGCCACATTCTGATAGCCAGTTGAACTCAAAGCCTGTGAAGATTTCTCACCAAACTTATAAGGAACCACATCATCACCTGCAATAAATCATATCAGTAAATATCTACAACAGAAATCTGGTAAACCATCTTAGTTAGTCAGTAGAACCTACACCAGAGGAAGATGCTAGTGCCAAGGATGCAACTCCTCTTCAATGATGACATATGCGAAAGGCAAATAAAACCAACAATATCTATGTATGAGAGGCAATCATGATTACCTTTTCCATGGCATAACAGAAGCGGCAAGGAGGCAGCGCGCCTCGCAGCATCATCTACTTCTTCTAACTTCTTACTCAAGGTCCTGAAAAAGAATAGGACTTGTAACTATGGGCAGTTAATTAAACCGCAAAACAACATAGATGGGGTCCAGCTAAGATGGGGAGGAGAGTGTTAGAAACCATACTTGGAACATGGAAGCCATCCGCTTAGTCCGACAACTGCACTCAGATTGCATGGGTATGGATTACCATTCCCATATTTTCTTAGAGTAAAGCAAGTAGCAGAGTATAGGGCAGTAGCTGCACCCATACTAAACCCTCCAACTCCAAGTTTAACTGTAACAGAGAAAGCTCGACTTAATTATATCAAAATTCACCAACGGGTAAAAATATGCTTCAAAGTTCAAAAGCATAGGGTATTAGAACCATCCATAAACATAATTTTGTAGAAGAAGCATCTAGCAAAGATTTTACTTTGACAAAAGCTACCCTTAATTTAAAAGCTCATAAAAGAATCTTGGACCTGCAGAGAAGAGGGGAGGGGTATAATGATTTGAAGTTGTCTTTTCAAGATATCTCAATGATCAAGAGGAGCATTGATATCTTCAAGGCTTCTCTAAACATTCACAGAGACACATTTCAAACAGAGTATATCAACACCTGGAGAAATCATCAAATGCTAAAATCCAGAGAGAGGAACCTACTGTCATCAGGCTCTGTTGATAGCAAATTTGCAACATGTGCTGCAGAAGCATCCAAACCTTCTATATCATCTGGAGCATCTTCTGAAAGTTCTCCAACATCAAACCCTGTTTTAAATCACAAAAGTAATTAGGGTACTTGCGATGACTTTCAATTCTATTATTCTATAGGCAAGATAATATTTTCTTTTTTCTGCGACTATCTATGAGGATGATGGTAATTAGATCAATTGTTTTTTCTTCAAACAAAATGCTGCTCGTAGATGATTAGATATTGCTGAACATACTTCATGTAGTGATACATTAAAGAAACAAAAACTTACAAGCAGTGGAAGGAAAGCCACCAAACACTTTAATTGGTTGAGTAGGAGCGGTTGGACAAATCCATTTAATCTGAATCATTATTTTCACCATAAATTATGACTATATCAATAATGAGAAAATCCAACTTCCAATAGTTCAAATGTAAAATATTCTTACATTTGGAAGAGGGAGGGTTTCCAAGAGCTGGGACCAGCTGCCAAAGAGAAAAATTTAAAGCTTAAGTGCATATTAAAGAAAAATGGATTAATCTCGTATCAAAATATCACATGATTCTCTAGAAGCAATTCACAAATAGATTTTACTCCTCTTTGCAGCAGGAACTTAAAAATAAAAGATAGTCACTTAAATGAAAAACTTCCTCAGTTTCATGATTATTGTGCAGGCCTCTAAATAAAACAGTAAAATAAGCAATGGGGACAAAGTATCACCTTGAACCATTATCGCCAAGACCATGTAGCCAAACTACAGTGGCCTGGTGTTTGCCTTTAGGTCTGACTACATAGGTTCTTCCAAACTCAAATACCCTTCTAACAGTTCTACCACCTGAAATCAGGTTACAATCAAGTTTAATGAGACAGGATAGCAAATAAGATAACCAACAGAATCTCGTATATCTCCACACAGAAAACAACTAATCACCTGCTCAATACCAATATTGAAAACCCAGGCAAATTGATATGTATAAAGTAAAGACCAAAATCCTCATCAAGAAATGGAAGAATCAAACAAGCATCCTTAATCTTATAATATGAACAGGGGTGACCATTTTAACACAACTCGAACCCAAAACGAAGGTTAGAGGTTAGAGTTCTAGAAAGGCCAGAAAATTGATATCCCAAAATCCTGACCAAGAAAAATTGATGTACTGAAAGAGCACATCATTGGTGAAAAATAATTAGTCTTTTACCAAACCAAAATAACAACCTGATGGCCACCCCTATGTATGAGAACCCATTAACCAAACCTCTTTACCAAACTACAGCAACATGAAGAAAAGGAAACAAACTAACCAGAACCCACAGATGGAGAGGTGAAGCTCATATTAGGCCCCCAGCACAGACCAAACTCCTACTGCAGCAATCGTACAGAGCACAGATCCTGCAGTGAAGAAACACAAAATAAAAAATTCAGATTTATCATCTAAAAGCAGTTTATGGACTAATTAGAACTCTCATAGAGCATCACAGTGCCCACTAGAGGCCCTAGGTGATTTTGGCACCACAGGAAGGCTAGGTAGGTGACCAACTGTCTAGATTACCCAGGTGATCACATAGGTGCCGTCCAAGATGAAACCTAACATATTGGTCACATTCTAAGTATCTACATCATGGGATAACTGACAGATACATAAGTGTCATCACCCTCTCCTATATAATATATCTCCATTTATAATGTGTCATGTGCAGAGATGCAAAATAACTACATGAGCTAAAAATCATTTTGTATCCTTTATCATTCAAAACCATATCAGTTAAAATTTTCTTCTTTGCTGCCACCTAAAACCACTCACTTCTTGAGCTTTGAAACTTCACATGATGTCAAAACATATAAAGTACACCTAGTTAACATGTTGGAGCCACTTCAAGAGCTTTTGAGAGAAGAACTTAATTTGCTGATACCTCAAACAAACTGGGGGACAAAATTACTTTGGCCATGCTAACCAAATGTAAGAGCATTAGAAAACGAGTGTGGCCAATATCTAACTACTTCCTAAACTCTGGCATCTAAAATTGAAGAAGTGAACAGCCGCAATCTAATAGGAAAACTAACACAAGCGCATGCAAGCAATAGCAAATAAGGGCTTCTGCATGTTAGGGGTTTTGTCTTCCCCAATGTCAAACAGATACACATGAACCAAAGGGTGCTTGAACACTCTTGTCAATCATTTGGGCTTAAATAAGTAGGCAATTGGAGATACCCAGTTGTGCTTGACGCGTTTAACATTGTTCCCAAACACCCCATTAATCCAGCAAAAAGAGAAAAAACGAAGATCATTACAAGAAATTTCTAATCTTCAACACAACTCAAGCATACAAATCGAGAACCGCAAATTAAGAAAGAAAAAAGAGGCAATAACCGTTTATGATTGGTGGGTGGTTGGGTAGCAAGTACTGAAAAACTAAAGCTTGAATTTTATCAAGAGCAATACAAAAGCTTGAAGGATATAAGCATAAAGATGGTAATTTTAAGATTATGTTAAGCAACTGGAACGTAATCAAACAAAATTGAGCATAAATCAAGAGTGGGTTTTAGGGTTTTACACCATTGCTACAGAGTACAAACCTCAATTAGCTGTGGACGCTCTCTTCCTCTCTCTCTCCTTCCTCCAAGTTTTAAGTTCGCATCATTTTATTTGTCGTTTTATTATCTGTCGTTAGCCTTCGGAATTCGGATCGTCTACGAGAATGTCCAGAGCGTTTAAAATCTAAAATGCGAAGTACTTTTAAAAGTTGAGTATTTTCATCCGTTCGATTGAAATCCTTGGAACTTTTAAGTATGGGTTCACTTGATAGCTACCATAGATGTGTGCCACGTGTCCTACTAAGAGTGGAGGATTAAAATTCCAGTCTCAGTATATAAACACAAAACGCTTGAGATGAGAAGTGGCTTGCTGGACATTGGTCCCTATTCCAGCGATTTTTTGCTTATGCTGGTCCCCACGATCTCATCCTGTCACCTACCAAACTTACCCTTCAGAAATTTCCTTTTGTTTTTGGTTTTGATAAAGAATAGTTCAACTTCAAGGTCAACTAATTTGTTTTTGGTTTTAATCATAAGACGCTTATACAAATCATCACTAGGCAAGCCAATATATCATGGAGCTTATGATCACTTGCATAAGTTATTTGGTGACTTCTTGGGAATTTCAATTCCGTGACTATTTAAGCATGTTTATAAAGAAGCTAATATGGTTGCTAATTAGTTAGCTAAAAGATGTATAAGAATTTATGTATTTTGTTTAGTAATTTCCCTATGAATGTAATTACTATACTTTACTTTGACATGTCTGGTACTAAGTTTCTAAGGGGATCTCATCTGTAATGTATTTATGTTTTTTTTTTTAAATATTTGTTTTTGGTTTAGTAGAAAGAAACAAAGAAGGGGATGCCCCATTGTGAAGAATTATAGTTTTCATCATCTCATCATACAATGAAGACTGACCGCTTCAATCTTTTTTCTGAATAACAGGAACAAAATGCTCACATTATACATGGAGAAGAAAGTTTACCATGAAAGTAAAAACAAAAATGGTAAGCTTAAAAGAACCCTACTTTTAAGTTTTTATATAAAATATAGCCATAAACCAACAAGCAGCTAATCAATCCTGTTGATGGAGCTATCTTGGGGATATCGAAGACATAGCATTTGCATATGAGCATGTTGATGTGGAGGCATCTTTGCTATCTACTTGTTTTGTTGCCAATGCAGCAGCAATCTTTGGCCTCTCATGACCATTTGCTGGCTCTTCATCTATTGCCAAAAAATCAACCACCACCATATTTGTGTCAGGAGGCTCCTCCACTGTCACACGGCCTTCAATCATATCAACCACATGAGACATGCTAGGCCTAAGCCTAGCCCTCTCTTGTATGCACCAGAGAGCTATGTGAACCAGTTTTTTAACCTCCCTTTCATCAATACCTCCACTTTCTATTAGCCTTTGATCAACAACTTCCATAAGCTTTCCTTCTCTCATTTTCTCACTCACAGTTTTGGGAAAATACTGCCGTTTCCTTTGAGACCTGTCATTCCCTTTTTCGACGAAGCTGATGTTTCTTCGGCCTCCGATCATCTCCAGCAGAACCATTCCATAACTATAGACATCAGATTTCTCTGAAATTCCATGCTCCAAGAGCCACTCAGGGGCTAAGTAACCTCTAGTGCCTCGGATCGTTATCATAATTCTACTCTCATCTTTTCCCATTAGCTTTGACAGACCAAAATCTGCCACAACTGCCCTGTAACTCTCATCCAAGAGTATATTCTCTGGCTTAACATCAAGGTGCAAAATCCTTGACCTGCAATCATGATGCAGATAAGAAAGCGCCTTAGCAACATCAACAGCAACCCTGTATCTTAAATCCCAAGACAAGCAACCCCCACGCCGGTTAGGCCTTTCCTTTCTAGAGAAAATCCAAGAATCCAATGATCCATTTGAGATGAAATCATAGACCAAGAAACGAGGTCCTGCAGGAACACAACAATAACCGAGAAGGCGCACAAGATTGACATGTTGCAGGCTAGCAATTGCTGCAACTTCTGATCTGAATTCCTTCTCGCGGCGCTCTTCAGCATCAAGCTTTTTGACTGCCACAGGAGTGCCATCACTAAGGATCCCTTTGTAAACAGAAGCAGAAGCCCCTTTGCCAAGCAATGCCTGAAAATGGTCTGTTGCATCTTCCAGCTCTTTGTACCTAAACTTCGTGGGAACACCAGCAACTCTTCTAAGGAAACTGTACTCTATTCGCAGCTCACGGCCTTCTGATGCGTAATTTGATTCCATCAGCTTTCGCCTGCAATTGTAATGGCGTCTGATTATAAGCCATGCAAACACAGCAAGGATCACAGCAATACCTGCCCCACAAATGAGAAAGAAAGTATGGGAAAGTTTGAGAGAGACACGAGCAACAATTATGAAGATGATGAGGGTGATGACTGATGATGCAGCTACTATGTTAGCTTTTTTGTCCTCCATCAGAGCCTCATTCTTGTTTTCAGATAAATAGAGAGATAGAGAGGCAAGGAAGCGTTCTCTCTTATAACATGATCCACTTTCTTTCTGGTGCTGAAGAAATCTACTTTTATGGTCTAATTTCTTAATTTACATTATTTAAATAAGAGGTTAGAAGCGTTTCCATCCGCAGATCAGCCAAGAGTTGAAATATCGGAGAGTGTTCTGTACTCATACGGTACCCATGGGTTTTATATAGACCAAAAAGAAACAACCTGGAAGTCACCTCTAATTTATTGTCTGACTTTATACTTTTTATTGGAACCTCCACCCCTCCCTTTTCAGACATACACATCTTTATATTTAAGGCTTTTATCTGGTCAATTATTTGGAAATGTTTTGCAGAACAACAACCACCAAAAAAACCCTTCTGAAATCAAATAGCCACTCACATCTAAACCGATTCCGTTTCACAAATGAAAAGGAAAAGAAAAGAAAAAACTCTTATTATATGACTTGATGAAACACTGCCCTTATTTCTTTCTCTGGGGTTTCTTTTCTCTGTTTTTGTCTCTCTCTTGTAGTTAATAGTTTTTGCTGATGCATTATGATTCACTTGTAAGATCAGGAAGACAGAGTGTACAATCTGACCTAGTCATTGACCATAAACAAATGTCGTTGGTTTTAATTTCTTGACTCATTCAATCCCTTTAACTAAAGACAACTGCTGCGGAGATAACATTTATATATGATTGTGGTGCTTTGGCCTTAATTGTACTCAAAACACAGTTTCCTTGATATGCTTATTTGAGCACTGACAGAATTATATTATATTCCAATGCTTGACAAAACCAAAGATTAGTTTGAAAATAGCAAGACTGCAAGACCGGGTCCTGAATATGAATAATTTATACAGATGAAGAAACCTAAAAACAGTGTGCGAGGGAGAACAGGCCATGCCGCTGATGCACCTAACCCCGGTATTAACGGGAGATTTCGACACAAAGCAACAATGTGCAATGCGCCAAAAATTCTCAACTATATGGATTCATGTGATCTTTTGCTCATCATAATAATATAAATATTTTTGCAGGGTCCCTGTTTGTTTTATGATTACAAAAACACATAACCTTGTGGGGAAGAACGGCCGAGGAGGGAAAGCTCAGAGTTTGAGTGAGGGAGAGAGTGATCACAACATACACCTCTTACACAAACATAATGTTGTGTTTTGGTTTTTTCTCAATTACGTTGGATGGAATCAAACCCTGTACATGGTTGCGTTTTTATTAGAAGAAAATGTCCATTGAAGAGTCAAAATCTTGAATATAAATCCATCATCCATTGCAAAGAATTCAATGTACATGGTAGAATAAGGAGAGATAATTTTACAGAAATGTTATTGCTTGTTTCTGTTTTTGTCATAAGAACAATGAATAGGCAATTGATTGAGCGTGATAAAGTTGTGTGTAAGTAAGAAAGAGGTTTTGATTTTTCTTTTTGTGTCTTTTTTCCCTCTATGTTTTTTATCATAATTATTCTGATTTATTAGGGTTGTCTTATTTTTAAATAATAATTACAGTTTTCTAAGTAAATAGTGTAGGCTCTGAGTAAAAGAGAAAAAATTTATCCGACCACCAAAAGAAAAATAAAAAAGCTTTATACTTTATATTTGTTTATTATTATTAAGAAAGTGCAAGTTGCAAGTTTGCATAGAGCAGAGGAGGCAGGGCCCATGGCTAAATCGACGTTGCCCTAAAACCCAAAGCCTCCCTCCTCTCTGTCTTTCAGTTTTTCGTCTCTGAGATTGAGAGAAGAGAGCATTGACTGATAACTACTTACGATACCTGCATAACTACATGGGGAGCTACACAAACGGTGTCGTTGGAGACCAAAGCGGCACCAGCAATGGCGGAGACGGCGGGGTGGCGGTGGACAAGGGCGTCGACTTCGCCAACTACTTCTGCACCTACGCCTTTCTGTACCACCAGAAGGAGATGCTCTCCGATCGAGTTCGCATGGACGCTTACTACAACGCCGTTTTCAAGAACAAGCACCACTTCCATGGCAAGGTATAGCTCATAAGTCATAATACTCTTTTATCCTCTGTTCGTTTCGTTACTCAAATAGCTCCAAGAACCAAAAAGTTCTAACCTTTACTGAAAAGCCTTCACCTTTTACTTATCTTTAGACATTTGCCTTTTGGGAATATGAGAATTTTGTTATAGTATCGAAAATTTGGGATTAATTTGGTTAATTTCTTGGAGAAGGCTGTGTTGGATGTGGGAGCGGGGAGTGGCATTCTCGCAATTTGGTCGGCACAAGCCGGAGCGAGGAAGGTTTATGCTGTTGAAGCGACTTCCATGGCAGAACATGCACGTGCGGTTGTGAAAGCGAATAACCTTCAAGACGTGGTTGAAGTGATTGAGGGCTCCATGGAGGATGTTGTTCTGCCAGAGAAAGGTTTGGCATTGTTCGAATTTGACAAATTTGGTTTTAAAATGTGGTTTCCATTAGTGTCATGCTTATGTGATTCTGCATTGTTGCACAGTTGATGTGATTATTTCTGAGTGGATGGGGTACTTCCTACTGCGTGAATCGATGTTTGATTCGGTAATATGTGCACGTGACCGGTGGTTGAAGCCAACCGGAGTCATGTAAGTGTTCCCTGGCATTTACATGTTGACAGTTTTGGTGATATATGTAGAAGCAGGAAATCGGTAGTGTTGCAAACACACACTTTTATGATTGTTTCCTTGTTTCTAAAGTTTAAAGTTTTTTGAATATCCGTTGTACAGAAAACCTTCTCGATTTTTCCGAACACAACACTTGAATCTGTTTTAAAACCATTTGAATGCAGCCCCCATGTGACAAGATTATATGTGTACTTGTAGATGTAGTCAAGCTTTCATCTCTTCTTTGTCTTTTCTAAAACCAGGGCTTAAATTGTCTCTTCAAATTTTGTTTTCACCAATTCCTCATCACTTTGTTGTTGGTCCTTAGATTTGAGTCCCGGAGTTTGCTTGTACTATGATGGGAATAATCAGTAAACTGTCTGTTGGAGAGAGGGAATTTTATCTTGAACCTGCTGCCACCACTTTTAGTATGTTAATCAGGCAATCTTCAAATGGTTTACTGATCATTATATATTGTAATTTGGAATTAATTTGTGGTTTCACAGGTATCCTAGCCATGCTTCTATGTGGGTGGCACCTATTAGGTCTGGATTGGGAGATCAAAAAAGTAATGATTATGAATCATCTATGGAAGATTGGTACCGTTTCACAGATCAGACAAAAAATTATTATGGCGTTGATATGAGTGTTCTAACAAAGCCTTTCTCTCAAGAGCAGAAGAAATACTATCTTCAGGTGATTTCTATGATTCTAACGAGTGTTAACTTTTATCTTTTTATATTCATCATCAGTGGATAGACTTGTATTTTATGTTGTACATTGTTGTGGGACGGTTACTTATTATTATTATTTTTACTATTTTTTTTGTGTGTGGAAAGTCGCAGCCATGTAGCCTGTGAATCCCCTCTGCCCCTCCCCCTTGAAATGTTTCCTTTGCTCCTTCCCCTGTGAAATGTTAAAATATCATATTTGTACAATATATGTTTTTCAATTTTTCGGTTAATCCATGCTCCTTCTGGTGTCCAATATCTTAAATGCATGCTATGGAATTTGCAGACATCAATGTGGAACAACCTTCATCCACATCAAGTTATAGGGACAGCTGCTACTGTCAAGGAGATTGATTGTTTAACTGCCTCTGTCAGTGACATCCTCGAAATTAGATCGAACTTTTTGTCAACAGTTACTCTTCAGAACACAAGGCTCTGTGGGTTCGGGGGATGGTTTGATGTTCATTTTCGAGTAAGCTGATTAAACATCTCTTTTTGTTTTGGAGTAAAAGGACTCTTCAATATTTGCCCGCTCAATGTAACATGAAATTTATCCTGTTCTGGTGTATCAGGGAAGGAAGGAAGATCCAGCTGAGAAGGAGATTGAGTTGACTACTGCACCTAGTGTAAATGATGGCACACACTGGGGCCAACAGGTTTATTCTGCCAAAAATCTTTTGCCTTTTCCTTATTAATAATTGTCAAGAAATCAATGTGAGTCTTTGATTACAGCATCTAAGTTTCTTCTGTGTTTGTCTCCCTGTTTTATTGAACAGGTTTTCCTCTTGGACCCTCCAATTCGTGTCAGTGAAGGGGATAAACTGAATGCTTCTTTCTCAATGAACCGATCAAAGGAGAATCATAGATTGATGGAGGTTGAGTTCAGCTGTGAGATTAGACAGTATTCTGGCGAGTTACTTCCGCCTTTCAGAAATAGATATTTCATAGAATGACCGGAACAAGGATCCTTTCCACCAGCATACTTCTGTGAGACTGGGTTGTCAGATGTAATTGGTCTAACGAATCATATGCGCAAGTTTTGTGGGAGTTTTGCAACAGGCTTTGCAGCTGTTTTGCAATACTCGAATGTTCATTATGTTTTAATTTTGTGATATTTTGGAGTTAAGTTATGTCAATTTCATCAGAATAGGTCTTTATGTTGACCTTTACCTCCTTATAGTAGTTTTGCAGTGTCATACTGGAGAGCATTTGAACCCTTTTTACCCCCTCCCTCCCTCCCTTTATTTTTTGGGTTCTGTTTACGATGCAAAATGCATTATACACATTTTGTTAAATGTGTGATGAAATGTTCAAAACAAAACATTATGTCGGGGGGTTGAGAAATGATGTGGTTCTTCTTCTTAGCCGATTGTTATTTTTAGGTAACTGTTAGACACAATTTACACAGTTGTATATACAGTTTGATCAGAATGGTATCTCTAGTTCATGAAAACTGGTATTTGATTTTGCAGCTCTGGTCATAATGACAGATCATTGAACCCTAACTTGATATGACTTTGACTCAACTGCAAGCAGATGAGCACTCAAACTGAATAGTTCTAGTGTTCCTATCCATTAGTTGAAAATGGCTAAAAATAAACAAGTGTGTTACACATGACAGCCTGCATATATCTCTATTCTTAGACTAAAATAAAGTAATTTGACTTTTTTCATCACGTTACATGCACATGGTGAGGTGCATGCCTTTAATTACCCTGCAAGCTGCCTTTTAGGCCAAGTTGACATCCTTCCTCGTATGTATTCTATGACCATTCAGGAAATCAGAACATTATAAGTTGATATTTAATTGTCAAACCATATGCTAAAATAACTGGCTAACCTACCTCCCTGCATTTTTGGCTCTGCAAGCAAAGCTGTTATCCTCGATTTCCAGGCTTTCCTAAGTTCGCGAGCTCCATTAATATATAGTATTGTTTTCCTCTTCCTCTCCTCCACTATAAGATCTCGTAGCACTTTGGCCTTCCCTTTTGTATATTCCTCATCATTTATCTGTTCTTCTTCTTCTCCATCGTTTTCAACTCTCTGTTGGCTTCTTGTTCCCCAATAACCCCCGAAACCCCAAAGAATGCATCGATCATCAAGCACTTCTCGAGCCTCGGAAGAGTTCTTGGTGAACTTCTCACCAGCATCCATGTCCCTGGCCTCATCTCCACCTCTAAAAACTGCAGCAGCTTCTGAAAACTTGCCTGTGTATAATGCAAATTCGGATCATGCTACGAAAAAGGAAATTGCTCTGCTGCATCATAAGTCGTCAGGAGGAGAGAATGTCATTCACCTAATTCCCCTTGTTTTGGCTTTCTGTGGTTTTATACTTTGGATTTTCTCTCATCCAGCTAAACTGTAAATGTAATGATATGCACCCCATGTAACTTAAAATATGTCTTCTCTAGTACCCTTTTCTTCCTTCTCTCTTGCAAGAGGGTTGATAATATCGCAATGTAATCACTATCACATTCTATGATCACGAAAGAAAATGAGACAATCATATTTGCTTGCTTTGATTTCATGGGTTTTGTTTTGTCTTAGATTTTATCTTACCAAACACTTCTTAACATTAACTACCTCTTGGTCTAGTGGTTCGGGAAGTAGGAAAGTAGAATCCCAAAAGGCTTCTTAACTAATGTTTGGTTGAGCAGAAAATTGAGGGCTTTGGTGGTCAGTACTGTATAAAGTACAAGGCTAATTTGACTTTGGATGGGCTTGGACCAGGTCCAACATGTGCCCAACCATCTCTTCAATCTCTCAACCCACCTCCAATGCTTGCAAGGGCATTTTCTCACCTGGGGCAATAATAGCAAGGAATGCTGTGGAAATCATGCTATACGTACATTGCAGGATGCCCTATTCATGCCTGCCATACATAAAGAATGAAAAAAAATATGAAACAGAAAGGTGACAGAAAAATGAAATTAATAACAATTTTGTGTTGGTTCAACAGCTTTCAGTGTGGTTCACATGGCTCATTTTGTGTGTGCGCTATATATATATATATATATCAAGAGTCTTTTGCTTCCAAGCAACAAATGAATATATCATCACATATTAGGATATGATTAGGAGGCTGGCAAAAAGCGACATTCCAACTTTTATTAAAAAGAAATAAAGGATCCAACAAGATTTGGCACTTTATTTATGTATTAATTTTTTTAAGGAAAACAAGTTCTTGACCTGGTTTTCTGATATGGCATACAACATCAAAATTTGTAATTTCTTCATCCAGGCTGTTCCTATGTTAATGTTGTGTTCGGGTCGTGTCACGTATTGCCACCCTTCATTGAATTGCAGTGGCACATATTACTATTAGGGGGCGGCAGGCAATGGAAATAAGATTAAATTGAGGGGCATACATATATATATATATATACATATAAGGTGTGAATTCTATTTCAAAGATACAAACAAGTAGTAAGTACAACTAATATAATCTTGTCATATATGCTCTCTCTCTCTCTCTCTCACTCACTCTCACCTATAAGTGATGGGGGGCCAGAGGGCTTTGTTTTCCCAGTAGCTATCTATCCATGTTGCCAAATATGCGGTTTGGCATGGAAAAAAAAAAAGAAAAGAAAAGAGATCCTCTTTTTCAAATATAGAATGTAATGCGAGTACCATTAATGATAAAAACGACATTTGGTTGATGAAGGAAGATAATTAGGCAAATGTCACAACACAATCACATGAGCACATTCAATTGGGTAACAAACGCGTCACCATCAATTTAGGCACCCTTAAATATCTTTCAACCGATTTATTAGGAAGTAAAATTACACATTTTTGGATCTAAATTGCTCCCATAATACCTTTTTTTTAAAAAAAACATTAAAAAAAAACCAAATTGGTAGCTTTTGATGTTTTGTTTATGCGTGAAGCTTATAATATAATGTAGTTGTTGATATGTTCTTCAAAAGTGGTCTCTAGTCAAGACCGGAAATGATCGTATACACTTGTTAAATTGAAAGCCACCACCATGTTCAATTCAAAGTAAGACAACTTGACCTACATATATATATATATATATATATATATCATATATTGGTGGTCTTCTTCCTCAATTCGTCTCCAAGAAAAGGAAAACCCACGTGTCCAAAGAAGCTTTTCAACATTTTTTGTTCAGAATTGAAGCATATGCTATATATGATCTACAACTAATGTTTTTTTTTTCTTGTTCTAGTGAGAGGATGATAATATACTAAATTAGAACTCGAATCCATGGTCTTTTTTAGGGGAGCATTTACTCCAACCATTACACTAGTGGGTTCTTTATAATTGGTTTCTTTCTTTTATTTCATTTAAAATAGAAGAAAAGTAAAAGGAAAACAGAGAATTCATTCTCTATCGCTGCCTTTCTGGATGCCAAATTCGAAGCATGACATTTTTTATTTATGAAAAAGTATTCATTTAAAGAAATTACACAACCATAAATTCGATATCCAAGTGAATCTTTACAAAATTCCTTAAGATGGATAACCATATCTCAATTTAGCATACAAAGACACACAATTCCACAAGAGAAGACAACGTGACAATCCAATAATAATTAGCTCGTGATAATGCAGTTAAATAATATTTATTTAGTGAAAATAATTCTTTGTTTTTTTTTGCATACTTTGAATCACTCTTTTGACCTTGTACTTGCAAAGACAAATGTGAATGAGTACGTATTTGGAATTTACCTAATACGGATAGATATGTTGTAGACGGAATATATCCATAGCAAAATGAATGAACCGTTAAAATACAAAACAAAAAAAATAAAAAAAATAAAAAGGAGGAGAGGAGAGGAGGGTATGCGTAGTGCACACCCATGGTTTACCATGAGATTTAACAGTTAATCCCCACCTCAACAAGCTATTCTTGGTCAGATGGCAACTTGGCATAGAAACCATGCCATATTCGTTGCTTATTAAGCTAAATATTTGGACCTTTTAAATACCCACAAAAATTAATTTATTCATAAAAACAATAAAACTAAAACCAACACAACAACAACAAGAAGAATCACAGAGTTCAAACTTTTTCTGGTAACCAATTCCTCTCCGAATTGAAAAAGGTCAGTGAAAACTCTCTCCATTTACGTTTCTTTTAATCCTCTCTGCATTTAGATTTTTGATAAAATTCTGTGCTTTGTAATCTGTGTATCTCCTGTCAGTTTAATCTTCTTCTGGATGAAGACAGGGAATTGACAGAGAAGTTATAATTTTGCTTCTTGGGTCAAATCTTTTTCCTTCACCCAACTGTTTGTTTGCGGAGAAAACGCTGGAAAATTAGAAGAAAACATTGGGTCTCTATTTTGTTTGTTCGGTAGACGGTGTTATGAAATTGGGTCGATGAAACTAAACCATCTACTTGCCTTAAGCTCAGTTGAGTGCTAGTTTGAGTTTTCTCAGGTCTTAATCAATGGAAAACTTAGGAATTCAAAGTTCGGTTCTTTTTATCTTGTTGCATTTTCCCAGCAGCAAAGCAGAGCATAAGTTTTGGCAGTCTGATTTGAATTTCTGATCTTTTTTTAATTTTCTTCCTTTAATCCTAAACGAAAGGAATTCTTCAAGTGTTTGAATTTTATGACTGTTTGGTTGTTTAGAAGGTGCAGAGAAAAATTGAAATTTTATATCGTTTTATTTAATTTCCGACTTCCAGAGAAGATACATATGGTATCTTATTTGTTTGCTAAGAATTCTCTATAAAGATGTTCTTTTTATTGATTTACGTAGTTTCAATCATTCCATCACCAATGATCCTCACTCTTCCTTATGAGATGTCGAGATTATTATGAATTTATGATTTTATTTCAAAACATAGACTCTTCTGTATTTTAGATTCTTTGTCTTGTGTCTTACGTTAGTTTTATTGTTGAAACAGGTTTTATAAAGCATATAGCATCATGAGATTCAAAAGTGGAAGCAGAGTGGAAGTATTGAGCAAAAAGGAGATGCCTTCAGGCTCCTGGTGCTGTGCCAAGATAATCTGTGGTAACGGCCACAACTACACTGTTAGATATGATGGATTTGAGGGTGCCTCTGGTAAGGCCGCTGTCGAGAGGGTACCCAGAAATGCGATTAGGCCTTGCCCTCCTCCACTGGAAGTTTCAGATAATTGGGTTCCTGGTGATCTCGTCGAGGTTTTTGACAACTTTTCTTGGAAAATGGCAACAATTTCAAAGGTTTTAGGAAAGCAGTACTTTTTAGTCAGGCTACTTGGATCCTCCCAAGAATTTAAGGTCGGAAAATTTGAAATCCGAGTCAGACAGTTTTGGCAAGATGACAAATGGGTTGTGATTGGAAAGGTAATGTCGTCTGAATATATTTGCCTTCATAATATCTTTATTTACACTTTGCAGTTTTATGTGTCTAAAAGTTTTGAAGTGTTCATTGAGGACCTTGTGTTCAATATACTTACTTTTTTGGTTTTTGTTTTTGTTTTGTTTTTTTTAATCTGCGTCGTAGACACTTACTGAAAAGAAAGCATGCATTAAGGTTAATCAGTAGTACAAAATTTAGCGTCACAAATGAGTGATTGATATAGACTCTAATAGTATAGATGTTTCATTTTGAACGTTTGAAGTTGGAAATTTGCTTTGGCTGTTGGAATTGTTCTGATCAATAATTTAATGTAGTGCATACCAGAAAATAACTTCCACTAGATGTCTTCTTGTTTTCATGTGCTTATTTTTTGTTTACTTTTGCATGCAGGGTTTGAGCAATTATGAGTATGGAAAGCGTGTTGAAACTTTAACTCTAAAGTACAACCAAAGTTCTTGTCTCAAAGCTCAGAAGAATGAAACGCACATCGCCTCCTCTCATAATCTGAAGAGAAGATCGCCCTACTTGTATTCCCAAGATGAAGCATATGATGGATCTGCTGAGAAGTTTAGAGGTGTTGAAAGAGAGGGCAAACGTCTCCGAGTAATTTCTGCTAATTTATGCACATTTTCTGAACAGGTAGATGTTGCGTTACCAAGACATATGCAGGGTGGAAAAGAAATACGTGCTTCTCTTAACAACAGAACAACTGTATTTTCTGATGTGGATATGGAAAGGAGGAAACCAAGTGGTGACGTTGGGTGTTTCTTTGCTGTTAACTTAAGGTTGAATGATGCTGATAGTGTGACATGCTCTGTTGGTAGTTGTAGTATCGGTAGCAATGATTCCTATAAGTCACCTCCTCCTGTTTCTGCTAGTTCTACTGAAGATTTTGATGATCAGTTATCTGATGCTGAATCTATTTGTCGATTGAGATATGAGGAAGGAAACTCTCTCCTTCCTGCAAAGGAAGAATTGGCGGCTGAGATCCATAGGTTAGAGTTGCATGCCTACCGTCGCACGATAGGGGCATTACATGCATCAGGACCTTTAAGTTGGGAACAAGAAGAATTGGTGACCAATCTTCGCCTTTCACTCCATATATCAAATGATGAACATTTAATGGAGCTTAGAAACTTAGTGTCTGGAGATAACAGCATTCATATTAGATGACAGGAAAACTGAGACCATGTCTTTTGATTCATATTTTTCTTCTAGCTGTAGAATCTGATGAAATTTTCGTTAATGACCTTACTCCACTGTAAGAAACAAGATGAGATGTTTTGATATCCTGTTATTTTTAGTTACAACTTATAGTTGAAACTCAATGTAGTACAAACTTTTCCAAATATGCATTTTATCAAACTCATCTTTGTGAATCAATTATTTTCTTTTTGCTTTTCTCTGGGATTGTACTGAGAAGCTTATCGTGATTAAGATGTTCAACATAAACCTTACTATAGGAAGTTTTGTAAACATGTATTATGGATGCATTTTGCAAGTGAACGACTCTGCATGTGCTCTTATAAAAAATCTGATTTACTATAGTGTGTATCTTTTCTCCTTCTGTTGATTTGTGAGGCTGATGCTTGCTCTTAGATTCCCTGAGTCATGAGAAATATGTTCCATGATTTATAACAAGTCAATATCTTGATTGTCTCCCTATCATTTGGAAGTCTAAGAAATTTCATTTGTGGACAATATTAATGCTTCCCCTGCGTTTTCCAGGGCCGAACTAGGAGGCTTGTCGCCTTGCTTTCAAGTCTCCAAAGATGATCTTGGGGCTTGCCAGCTTTCTCTCGGTCTAGACGTGAGGGTAATTATTATAGGACAGCTTCTGATTCTTCTGTTCTCATTAACACATCTGGTCTCTTCATTCTTCTATGTCAGGCCACCTGTGAGCCTTAGATAACTGTTTTGCTGAAGGATGTAAGACAAGAATCTTGTAGTTGACACAGGATGACCTGAGATGTGGATGCTTTAAAGGTTTTATTTCAAACCTTTGCCTCAGCAAATCCGCATATAACTTATTTGACTTGCTGATATCTTTCGTATTCTCCATCTGCTAGAAATTTATCAAGTGAATGCAGTTGCATTTAGTTACATTCTTCGTTTATATGGTTTACTGCTGTTTTTTATTGGTTGTGTGTTATGTCTCTTTTTTATTTAGGCGGGGAAGGTTATAAGTTTATGAAGCCTGGTCAAGGGTCTTTCAATTTTAAAAGTAAAGTTCAAAATATTGTAATTTTCCATAAGCATGGGCAGTCAGTCTATTTTCAAGCACAAAGTTTCCATCAAACAGGTAAGCATTGTTATTAAGAATGTGCAATTTGTTCTCGATATTACCAAGAAGTTTTGTATTGGGAGTGGTTTCAAATTCTAATCTCTAATCTGCAAACCAGGAACGAATTTGTCAACTCTCCGGGTGTAAGCAGTAAGAAGATATCAATGTTCTGATTATAGGCCTCTGGACTGCCCTACAGCTCTTGAATTCTTTGTGATGATTGCAGTATTTATAGCATATCACAAACTTTTTGCTTGCTCCTGGTTGACACAGATTGTCGGCCATAATCTTTTACTGCAAGTTTTGAACTGAGGTACGCAGGAGAGGGCTAAACTGAACACAGAACCCTGAAGGAAACATAACTCATTTCTCCGCTAATATGACGTTAAACTCTCACTGATCTCAAATTAGTTTGTTTTTGTTCCTATTCCGTGGAAAAATAGTACTGGATTTGGATGCCCTTTAGGTGGAAATATTATTTGTTTCCTGTCCATCCTTGCAAGTCGTTTCATTTCTCTATCTCACTTGTGTTTGTGAGGCTTCAAATTTTTATCTAAGCAGGCCTGAGTTCGATTTATTGTTTATGGTTCCTGCTGCAGATGCTTTGTACGTGAAATATATATCAGCTTGGTTTGAATACCATAAAGCTGTGACTGGTGTCTACAGCCCATCAAATTTTTGAATTTGATGCAATTATTCCAAGGATCTTGAGCATGTGATGATGACATCATATCCCTTGGAGATGCTCTTAGCAACTCAAAATGATTCTGCTAATCTGTGCTCAGTTTGTACTTTTATCCCCTGCCATTGTTTGGTCTCTCAACTTAACATGTCCTGTCGTTAATTTGTTTTTATCACCAGAGAAGAGAAGCTGGTGTAGCTACTGTTCATGAGGAGGTTGCTTGTACATTATTTGTATATCTTGTGAAGATTTTCAGAGCATGCGAAAGGACAACGAAGATTTTCACATAAAGTGTTTTTGAAACCAAGCAAGATCATTGACCGCACATACAAAGCACTAATATTTTATGGGCCCCTTGACGAAAAAGAAAACGGTTTTATGGGCCCAAGTTTAGGTATTCTAGCTAAGTTGGGCGAGGGATTCTTGGGCTTCACATAGGCTTCAATCGTATAAATTTGATAAGCAGGTTAAACTACTCTAATAAGGACTCGCTAACTTGACCAAGTAACCTAACCAATGTATGCATTCCTATTATCTTATTCACAAAACGTGTTTGACTGATAGTGATGAGAGAGCTGGTCCAAGGATGACCACATGAAAACCTTGAAATTTATATACGCGTCGTCCTGACTCCTGATTGATTAAAATGTTGCTAAATTTCTGTTGTTTCTTGTCCAGAGTTAGAATCTTGAAGCAAAAGGGCAATGAAACAGGTGGGGGTTGTCACTGAAATGACCAACAAAGTTCCAAAGGTGTCATTCTTGCAAGCAAAAGGGGCGTTTGTGGATTAACAAAATGAGTGGTGTGGTGCATTTATGTGGCTCCACCAAATCCTCTGCTCTTGTCTCACTTGCATCTCTTCATGATTGTTGTTCCCATGTGATTTTGCTCCTCTCGCAAATAGAGACAGACAGATAGAGAGAGAGATGTTAACAAAATGAGTGGTGTGGTGCATTTATGTGGCTCCACCAAATCCTCTGCTCTTGTCTCACTTGCATCTCTTCATGATTGTTGTTCCCATGTGATTTTGCTCCTCTCGCAAATAGAGACAGACAGATAGAGAGAGAGATGTCCCTGTGGGACTTCAACTGATTTGAGTTAAGGCTTCTAATCAAGCTTTTAATTTCCTCATCGTCTTAACTAATAATATCTTTCCTCAGATGACGTGGTTGGGCGGTGCTTGAGTTCTCCATCTTATCAGGTATCAACCTCAATTTGGACAAGAATGTTATTAGTGTCATTTGAAATATCTAACACTAAAACTTAGCTGTTTTTTTTTCTTCTTACAAACGATATTCTACTTTAGTATAAACAACGATAAAGGGAATGTGAACTTGAGAGTAGAGTGGAAAACACATCTGCTTTAGCAAATTTAGCTAAGTCCATGTTTGCAACTTTCTTAGTTCACCTAATAAGATATACAACATTTATTGTTATATGCTCACTTTATCTCTGTGTCTGTACTCTGTGTCTGTATATTGAGTTTAGTTTTTTGCATGCCACTTTCTTTTGGAACAGAGAACGTGTCTGTGATGTGCTGCTGTTGTAAACTTGGGATGAAAGCTCAATCAGCCAGAATTTGTTATTGGTTGTCAGCAAATGTTGGGATCTGCTTGTATCAGATGACATTAATTCATGATATTCTGTTAAAAATAAACATTATCTTACAACTAACTTATATATATATATATAAGTCTTGTAATAAATCCCAGTAATGAAATGGTAGGTGAAGATGGGCTATCTGAGAAATATATATATATATATATATGTAATTATGGATGATATGGTATATATAGAAGGAGGAATGAGTGATGCATGCCAAGTTGCCAAATGGGGGCAAGAAAAGAGAAGGAGAAAATGGCCAATCATGCAAAAACAGAAAGAGCTAGGCCTTTGGTCTATGGCAGACCGACAGAGTCGCATTAATCAAGGGCAGACATTAGCCAGCTAAATTTCTTTGGCATGGCTGCAAAATTGGGAGACATTTGGGGCTGATTTATATTCATATTAATATTGATATTAATATATACTTTGTTTGATTAGGGAATTGGGATGACTCTGTCACAACCATAGATCTTAAATATTTTCTAGGGATCTATAAAACCCTTATATTTTTTTTAATTTGGTAGGGTGGGGGGACAAAAAACCCAATTCCTTAGACTAGGAGGTGGACATATCTTCCATTGGGCCATGGCATGGAGATAATCAATTTAATTTCTTGTTCTTGATATATATATATATTGTAGCTTGACCTTCCTGTTCTTAGGGTTCCAACGGCTACTTGCACAAAAACAAAATATGGTTCAAATAACCATAACTTTTGCTCCAAGTTTTTCTGCATTATTGTCGTTGTATTTAACCAATATTTTAGAATGTTAGCTTGACCTTTTGAGATGGAGTCATTGGAGTGAAGATTTTGTCGCCTAGCAAAGTGGGGGAGACATTGCCTAGATGTTAATGTGGGAAGCATGCTCAGGACCAAGCACAAGAGAACAGAGAAGCCTCTAATATAAATGAAAAGTTAAAGTTAATTAACATTAAGATTAGGACATGGATTACAAAATTTATCAGGGGAAGCGTGTTACAGATTAAACAATTAGGAAAAGAAAAAAAAGGTTAAGGAAGAATCATAGGTACGTGAAATATTATATATTCTTGTTTTATGTGATTGGGGTATCGTAAAGGTAATTCTGGCTCTCTTCTCATGCCTTCTATTCAGATAGAAAACAAAGCAAAGCAACACACTTCACCAAGATTAAGGAAGGCACACACATAACATAATAATGGTTTTCTTCTGGTCCTTAACATAGCACAATTTTCAAGATAATCCTCGTGATTAGGAAGAATAATCAGATTGTAATCACCATTAATGCATGCACCAGCATGGTCCATGATGCCCCAGATAGAAAGAGGAGGTGGTTTAATTAACTAGTGAATTGAAAACTATGAGTCATAATAAGGTAATTAGGGGATGAGTGATGAGATCACATGGTTCTTGGCATGCTATTGATTCCTTTAACAAAAAAAGAAAAGAAAAGGTAAAATACACACAAAAACGGGAAGAGGAGAAGGAGGAGAGATTTGTTACTTACTTGTAGAGTTCCAAACCCACATGCTTCCATGGGGACCATAAGAATTCAAAACCCCAAAATTAGAGCTACCTTCCAAAGAGCATGAGAAGATCCCAAAAAGTAATACAAAAAGAAAGGGTTGGTTGTCTCTGAAATCTTACTCCTTACTAAACTACAACTCAAAATTAGACACAAAAGAAAAACTGCAACTGAAAAGCCCTAAACCCCATAAAAAGGAGAATGTATCAAAAAAGTGCATTTGCATGCTGGCTTACAGTCACTTTGCTTAAAACTATCATTTTTCATGCCTTGGGTACTGCATGTGTCCTTGCTTTTACTCTTGTTTCTAGTAACTAACAATACATCCAATTTCCTTTTTCTTTTTAATCTGGTTTAGAAATAATAATCAAGGCTCAAGGGTCTAGGATTTGAGCACCCCATGCTTATCACAAACTGTAAACTATAAAGGGGCACCTACTTTTTCTTATGGATATGTAAATAAAATAGCAGAAATTCTTGCGTTGTGTTTGTGAGCATAGTTTTCTACTATTACTTAGATTCAACTTTCAACATCTACATTTCTAGTTGTAGATGTATTATATTATACAACACTGGTTTTACTTGCAATTTAAGATAACTATTTTAATGGAAAGGAGTTGCCCTAAATTCTATTAAGAAAGAGGAGGTGGTTTAATTAACTAGTGAATTGAAAACTATGAGTCATAATAAGGTAATTAGGGGATGAGTGATGAGATCACATGGTTCTTGGCATGCTATTGATTCCTTTAACAAAAAAAGAAAAGAAAAGGTAAAATACACACAAAAACGGGAAGAGGAGAAGGAGGAGAGATTTGTTACTTACTTGTAGAGTTCCAAACCCACATGCTTCCATGGGGACCATAAGAATTCAAAACCCCAAAATTAGAGCTACCTTCCAAAGAGCATGAGAAGATCCCAAAAAGTAATACAAAAAGAAAGGGTTGGTTGTCTCTGAAATCTTACTCCTTACTAAACTACAACTCAAAATTAGACACAAAAGAAAAACTGCAACTGAAAAGCCCTAAACCCCATAAAAAGGAGAATGTATCAAAAAAGTGCATTTGCATGCTGGCTTACAGTCACTTTGCTTAAAACTATCATTTTTCATGCCTTGGGTACTGCATGTGTCCTTGCTTTTACTCTTGTTTCTAGTAACTAACAATACATCCAATTTCCTTTTTCTTTTTAATCTGGTTTAGAAATAATAATCAAGGCTCAAGGGTCTAGGATTTGAGCACCCCATGCTTATCACAAACTGTAAACTATAAAGGGGCACCTACTTTTTCTTATGGATATGTAAATAAAATAGCAGAAATTCTTGCGTTGTGTTTGTGAGCATAGTTTTCTACTATTACTTAGATTCAACTTTCAACATCTACATTTCTAGTTGTAGATGTATTATATTATACAACACTGGTTTTACTTGCAATTTAAGATAACTATTTTAATGGAAAGGAGTTGCCCTAAATTCTATTAATTATAAATCTCCATACATGCAATTTATATATATATATATCAAAGAGTTACATTGGGTTGCTCATCATTCTTAACTGGTAGCCATTGCCACAAACAAATGCATTGCCAATTGAAGATACCAAAAGAGGGTAAGGTACCCTGTCCATGAGTCAAATCAGAGACCAAATTTGGCTTTGAAAAGGCCAATGGGATTTGTTCTGTATCTCATTCTCATCTCAGGTAGATTTCACAATTGCCATCAACCAAATAATTCTTCATCAGTTCAGCACCAGAAATGTAAATTTTTCTTAATGCAGACAGGGAGACAGAGCAGCAGAGGCAACCAAATAAGGATGATGATATTACAAAACTTTGTAGAAACAGAGGAGAATATACATTACATACAAACACGAGAGACAGAGGAAGCTACCTACTTAATTGTTAGCAATTCACTAATTCCTAAGATTCATAAAACAAAAACTTACCTGCCATGCCATGCCATTGCCAGGGTTAATATTTTTTTTTGGTAGAAAAAAAAACCCATGATCATGGTCATCATGGGTGATGGGGGTCAGTAACTCTAGGTTAACTGAGTTCAACATCTTTCTCTTAAGTAAACCCAGCATTAATAAAACGATACAGGCAAAACAGATAAACAAATTAAGGAAATCGGCCAAATGGGTATTTCGGTCAATTCACTTCGAATCATACGCACACTCACACGCAAACCAATGGTATGCATAATGGTAGTAATAGATCAGGACCCTTGATCTTGATCCTGATTGTGTTGGGGCAGACGTTGAAAAATGATGGGCGCACCGTATTGAGGGTAAAGTAGCATCAGGACCGTTGGTGCGTGTTGATAGGTGGGGGCCAGCCTGAAAGAGAAGCGTTGAAGTATGATGGCCAGAGCTAATTTTGCCTGCAACAACGCTAGATTTTGCCCAATGCATGTGCGGACCCCGAGCCCAAATGGAATGAACGCCACCGGATGCTTGGCGGCTCGGGCCACGCCCTCCGCGAATCGGGCCGGATTGAACTCCTTCGCGTCATTCCCCCATATGCTCTGATCATGATGAACAGCCAAGATTGGAATCAAAAGCTCGG